TGATGGACACTATACATTCTCTGCCATCAGTGTGTAAATGAGTAGGTGTGACTTGAGAAATCAGAAGATTAGAAAAGCACTTTACAAGTTTAAAGGCTTTATATGTGATTTTTCACACATAAATGTAGAAATCAAGTATATCCTCTGAAAATAACTCTGTGAGTCATGACTGTCTACAATGGGTGTAACACCCGAGTCCCACTGTCTGTGATGCTTTCAGAGTTTTCAGAGTCCTATCTTCACTTTGTTTACATCGCCAGGACGGCCGGCTGACTCCTCCCCTCGTGTATAAAAGTTGTTTAATTGAGGGACTAGAGAAAAGAAGAATAACATACTGTACTCACTGCTTAACTGTGTTTCTAGATCACGCTCATTTCAGGTAAATTTACATGCAGTGTGAAGATACGAGCATAATAAAGATCACTAGCATTAGCATGCTAACACAACAATGCACCAAGAGTTGTTTTGGTTTCATGCTGGTGCTCAAGGGCGACATCTGCTGGATCAAAATATCACATATAAAGCCTTTAAGTCCATTTACCATTTAGTGAATCAAAAAAAAAGAACAGGTATATTGGAAACAATATCATTGATATAAGACAAGACAAGGCCCAGAACTGACCCTTGTGGAACACCTTTTGTGAATGATAGAAACTTTGAATGTTTCCTGCTTTTACACATGGTCCAAAAGGTTACCTCTTCATGTTGCATTAATTCAACAACTTTACTGGTGTATTGAGTGTAAAGACTTTTTCTTTACAGACTATGAATTAGAATTATTATTTTTTTTATTTTAAGATTTATTTTGGGCCTTTTTGTGCCTTTAATGGAGGGTGGATAGAGTTGGAAATCAGGTAGAGAGAGAGTAAGGAATGACATGCAGGAAAAGAGCCACATGTGGGATTCGAACCTGGGCCGCCCGCTTGGAGGACCATGGCCTCCATACATGGGGTGCGCGCACCAACCACTGCGCCAACAGCACCCCCCCTTTCTAGTCTTTTAAAAACATTGTATTCTAGGGGTGCTGGTGGCGCAGTGGTTCGTGCACGCGCCCCTTGTATGGAGGCTGTCGTCTCAGGCAGGCGGCCCGGGTTTGCATCCCATCTGTGGCTCCTTTCCTGCATGTCATTCCCCTCTCTCTCTCCCTGATTTCCGACTCTATCCACTGTCCTATCTCTCCATTAAAGGCACAAAAAAGCCCAAAAATAAATCTTAAAAAAAACATTGTATTCTAAAGCGGTTATTGAGACAGACAAATATTTAATGATATATTTAATATGAACACACAAGGTGACTAACATTTTTATTTCCTTTTTCTATGTCTTCCTCTCTGCTCCACAGACGAGTCAGCGGATGCTCAGACTGTCCAAAGAGAAATAACACAGGCTTGCTTTTCCTCCTACAACTTCCACAGTGTTACAATACAAATGGAGCGACAGTCGGACCAGAAGCCTGACTGTAAACTGTGTGAGGACCCCAAGATGTAGCAGCAGAATAAGGCCAAGGGACAGCTGCTATAACCTCAGTTCACAACATTTAGTCTTTCTGCACTGCTTCTATAGGACCCTGAAGTCTGACATTTAATGATAAAGTCTCATGACTTTGTGTTGACACTATCAAAGATATGTGCCTGAATGAAAGATCAAATGATTTTAGAAGGAATGCCCTTTGGAAGTTTTAACTTGCTTTAAACTTTGATATTCATTGTCTTTTCTTTTAAGTTTTTTCACGATACAATAGAAATTATAATTCATAAAGTTAAAGTTTATCTTTAATGAATATGGTTTTACATGATTGAGTGTGTTGAGCAACTTTGAAATATATATGTCTTATCTACTTCCCTGAACCTACATCGTAACTACAGTTTACCTCATGACCTCATGGGGAGCATTCAGACCATGGCTATTCTATTCTATTACCTGTATTCTATTTTTTAAGTATTTACTTACTGCATCAACCTGAAAAATAGTATGCAGCCATAGGCAATGAAACATGGTCTTGTATGTAAATATATACATCAATAAATATTTCTATGCATGGACTACTAACCAGCAACCTCAAACGTACTCTCTGTTGGGAGCAGCAAGTGTTTTTTTAATACGTGGTCAAAATGCCTTTCATTGTCTTTGTAAAGTTCTAATGCACAAACTGAAATAAAATAGTCAATAAAATATTCTTTTTACAAATACTCTTATCTTGTGTTTCTATTTTTCCAATGCTTAAAATCCTTCGAAATGAAACAGTGTAAAACTTAAACCCCTTCTTGCCAACGCCATCTTCACTGTTTCTGGTAAACAAGGTCATTATTGTTCCACTGTCTTGAGGGGCTTATTGATCCCAGTTTACAATCGCCCCATCTCATTGATTTTAAGCAAGCTAGAGGTTTTCCTAGGTGGCCTTTTTAACTTAGAGAGTATTTGCATTTCTTTGATTTAGATATTGTGTTGCCTATAAATTGGGAAAGACATCACTTTGTGATCTTTGTTTTGTTATTTTTACCCTGTACACGCTTAGATTCTCTTCCTGTATCCAGCCGGTAGATTCATTATTGAAACAGGACATTACTGAACCACTTACATCATGCAGTGATGACCATTGCCTCTATGCAGAGAAACCAGCAGCTACTGCGGAAAGTATTTAGACCAGTAGCTCCTGAAAGCACAAGTTCCAAAATCCATGCAATCCCCATTCCTGTGTAACAGAGTTAATGATTCCACCTGCCGTCACATGACATAGTATGTCCTTCTTTTACTATTTCAATAGTGTAAATACTGTTTAGAATTTATTCCAATGAGTATCCACTGGGACTGATGCTTTGTGTAACATGAGCGCCCTCTGCTGGGGCCCGTGCAGACTTGAGCGGTGCAGCCTGCGAGTCTGCACTATAAAGTTACCAACCATGACCAATCAGAAGGTATCAGGCTTTTTGAAAAGAAGTTCTTTGTTAACTGATACATACTTCACTGACTACTTCACCCACTTTTTTAAGTCCAATATCATTAAAAGAAGTCAAAGGAGCGGCTGTAAATACTCTCACTCCCGACAGTGTTATTTCAAATCACTACTAATTGTAGCTCTAGTAAGGCTCCTTTAATTTGATGATAAATATATTGTGGTTTCATCAACTTCTTCACAATAAAAGCACCCACAGATGATGTGAAATGGCTTTATTGTTAAAAACCCATATCCCATGTGGTTCACATCTGTTAACATACATTTATTTGTGCAATTAAATTCACTCAGTCTTGCTTTGGTTACAGATACATCAGTCTGGTATGACTTCATTCATTGCAATAGAGGCTCTAACTGGTCTCAAAATAATAAACTAAAATACAATACATCCATTATGTTCAAAAACATGTCAGTTTTGTTTTAATAGTTAAAAAATTCCCTTTAATGAAACAGTCAATTACTTAACTATAAGCCTTGATGAATATATAGTTATTCATTGCACAATGCTGACTGTAAACATATGAGGCAGAAGTGTGAGTTAGTTCAATATCTTGTAGGTAACGTAAATCTTTGGCATTATTGATGCCAGGACAGTAGACAACTTCAGTCACGTTTAGTTGTTGACTGTTTTTGACACTTTTTAAATATATACATTTGTCCTTAAAGTTGTGTAAAACATTCTGATCTACCTGTTTGTTTGAGAAATGATTTTGTCAATATTCAAAGTTTCATAATAATAAAGTTATCTTATGGAATGAATATGCAAATGTAATCTCTTCGTCTTTAAATGTGTACAAAAACAGATGTAGAAACTCTTCGATGACAAAAATATAAATTGGAACAGTAACCATAAAAAAATGTTTGTCAATGTTTTTTTCCCTTTTCGCTCGTTTATATTCACTTCCTGCCTGACTGATATGGAATTTTTGGGGTCGATACCAATGATGGGAAGAGAAAAGAATCCAATATTGATATATCGGGCGATATCCTCCTTAGATCTATGTTTAATCTGTAGAGATAGATAGATATAGATAAACACACGTTTTTTTTGGATCCCTCAAATGCGGTTATCAAACTCTTGTGGAAAAGATTTATAATGAACACAAGATGGTCACTCAACTGGAAAGTAACTACACATATCTCTGGAGAGTGATACTGCTTGTTGTCATCCATATGGCGCCCTCTGCTGATGAAAGAGTACGGCTAGTGTAATACAATACTCAAATGAGATGCTATTTAACTTGTGGATAAATCTAGAAATATCAGCAGATACCTGTGATAAAATTAGCCGATACTGCATCGCCTCGCTCTACTTTCTATGTGATGTCCGATATCCAGTTAGTTTTGTGTTACCTTTTTAAAGTCGTCTGGATTTAGTTTTCATACAAGCTTTATGTAAACTTCTCCCACACCCACACATTTTACATTTACTTTATGTTCCTTACGTTTTTCTTCCTGTGTAAAATAATAAACCTACATGAACACACAGACATTAAAGGGAACTTTGTTTGCAAACGGAGTGATATGCAAGTTACTGCATTGGAAAATGAACCATCATAACTTTCTTTTTGCATCAATACCCTCCTAAGACCCGAACTCTTGCATGGCATGCATTTTTAATTTCTCTTTGCTGATTGGGCTGATTGGGACCTGATGAGTGTAAAAACAAAGAATTATCTTTTTACATGATGTAGTTTCTGAGAAAAATGATGTCCACATATGAGGACATTCGTTTTAAATTTCGATAGAACACAATAAAGTCAAAATTGAGTAATGATATGCACAACTCTTTATTTGGTGCCTGAACACAGCAGCATTTTTCCTGAGTGCAAAAACAAAATGAGAAACAACAATTGTGCCCCTTTGAGCAATATGGCTCATTTTAAGTGTTGCTAACAGTTGCAGGAAGACGTATGTCTGTGACAAAGCAACATTTTAAACATTTTGCATTGTAACTGTTCTTTGTTTAAACTGTTAATTTCAATATCTCAATATTTCTTCAACCTGCTCAAGGAATGCATCTCTACCTTGATAAATGTCAAAGTCCAGCACAATACCATCTGCTGTTGCGCAAACAAAGTTTTTCATGCCAACTGGGTTTGGTTTCATTGGCAGATATTGTCGATACGGACAAGCTCCTGTGAAAGGAGTCGTCTGCTCATCAATGGAAACGCATTCTGGTCGAGCCTGAGATTTGCAGCCTTTCAGAATGCGATTCAGAAAAGGCCTCACCTTCCAGAATTTATCACAATCTCTCAGGTCCTCTGGAACATCATCATCAATGAGCACTTTGAGTGATCGCCTCAGCCTGAAGAATCTGTCACGTGAACATTTCAGTGAATCTCAAGGCTTTGGACCAGTACATCCTGATTGCAGGATATAGTATGCAAGATATCAAAATACAGGCACCAAAAAAATGATAAATTTCATCAGTTGATGTGTTGATGAGTGGGTCCCCACTTCTAGCCAGTGACGTAGCATCAGAGCAATCTGCAATCATTTTCATCAAATCTTTATCAATATACTGTTCTATGTAGTCCAGTGGGGTCCAGCCCGCTCTGTCCTGCACAGTTTCCTCCTCATGCTCAAACTGGGCTTGATTTGGTGTGAGCGGAGAAGCCCTCCATCGCATCCCACACCCTTTCTTGGACTGTTCTTGATGGCTTGGTCCTGGTGTTATCTCTTCAGGGACATTGTTTGAGACATCGGCCTCATCCTGCTGTGTCTGAGAGCGACGTCTGGGAGTGCGTGATCTGTCACGATCTGAACGATATCCTTCATTTTCATCACGGAGACGTTTACGTCCCCTGATAGGCTGAGAGGGCTGTGGAATGGGGCCCTCACATCCACTATTGTCCTCCTCACTGGTGCTTGGCTCCTGTCGTGGGGGTTGATATTCAGCATCCCCTACGGGATCATCGATGTCTGACAAATCTTCCACCTCTGAGTTGTCTCTACCAATTAACCCCAATAACTCCATTACTCTTGACAGAGAATAACGCTCTGGAAAAAAATTTCATGAGAAAAATCTAATAAAAATCTATGTAGATTTATTTATAAAACATGCTACATCTGTTTGTACTGTAGTAAACTATTGTTTTCTACCAAAATCATCCCAAAATACTATTTCATTCTCATGTTTTGTTGCTAGCATTTATGATCACATATAAACATTTTCAACAAAACTAACAAAACTAAGTCCCTCTGTCCACATACGTGGACATCATGTTTAGCGGCATGGTAAATCGTTACAGTTACTAACTTTTGTAAAATTTTCATTCCATAACAAACATTGAACACTTTTATACATATCTGAACAAGAATCAGCCATGAAATTTGTTTGAATTTTTTACCTGGTCGAAGTTTGGATCGGGAGTTGCCATCTGAACTTCTGGGTGTGTTGTCGGCCATCTTGAATCTAATGTATAATGTGTTATACTCTTCTGACACCACTAAGTGGCAGTATAAAGTCCTCGTATGTGGACCCCAGGCCCTTGTAGAGAAAAATTTAATATTGTGGTCTAGACAACCCAAAATGTGATGTCCACATATGTGGACGCCAGGTCGTAGGAGGATACTCCTACCAATGATAACGTTTCTTAGTGTTGCTGTGGCAGTGAGAGGCAATTACTCACAGATTTAATTCAACATTGTAGCCATTAACACATAGGTATGTCACTAATAAATAATGTAACGGAGCTTTAGTCTCAGCAGCGGGCTCTCTGACAGCGTGTTGTTTATCTCAAGCAGGGGAAACTAATGTTGATATCTCCAAGATGGAAAAGCTCACACCTGAACGATCATCAGCCTGCGTGTGTTTACTGCACGTGACATTCTCTCTTCCCAAGACACTATTTTGCTAGCGTTAGCATAACCTCGCCTGTCGAATCGACGTCAATAAACCTTGATCTTGAGTAATGTGAATGCTGAAACTGTGAATGCGTTACATTAACGCCCACTGGAGTTACACACACTGAAATTGTTTTTCTCATAGTCCACTGCACAGCTCCTACATTGTTGTTTTTTATATTTGACATTTTTAAATTGTATTTTATATATTGTAATAGCTTCTTATACTGTATTATTGAAGTTGTTGTTAGTTCTGCTTTATTTCCTTGTTAATTGTTTAGCACCAATACACCAAGTCAAATTTCTTGTATGTGTAAATTTACTTGGCAATAAACCCCGATTCTGATTCCGATCTCATGTAGTCGTCGGCTATTACACTTAAAGTAACGAGAGCTTTTACATTTCCTATTCTGCATTACAGGGAGTTAAGATAATTATCCACTTCCGTCTGTCATTCACTGTACACATGTAGCTAATGGAGAGATAGCCTCAATACGATACAGGACACAGGGATGCGGAGGAGCCTACTGACCAGGGTGCGACACCGGGATAAAGAGGTTCAGTGAATGTGGTGTTGAAGGTGTGGAGGTGGATCAGTGTGTCAGAGGAGACTCTGTAGAAGGACAGAGTGCCTGCAGGATAGTCCACATACACTCCTACTCTGTTAGAGACGGAGGTGGAGGGGATCTCTGATTCTTTGTTGTTGTGTCTGACGATGTAACCACGGTCATGGCAGATCATACTCCAGGAGTGATCGTTCCATCCGAACGCACATTCATTACTGAATCCTCTCCTTGTAATTCCTCTGTAAGTCATCGATACAAGAACTCGTCCGCTCAGCTCGACTTCCCAGTAACACTGAGCGGTCACACCGGCCCCGCACAGCAGCTGAGGCCAGTGTTCAAACCTGTCGGGGTGATCAGGATACCGCTCTTCCTCCAACACACGCGTCACCTTTCTGTTGTTGTCAGACAGTTTGAGGAACTTGTACACTGTGTTTGTGTCCAGTTCCAGTTCACAAGCGTCTAAAAAGGGACAAAAACAGAATCTTTATCCTGATTTAACTGTGTGTTTGTATTTTAGATGATAAAAAAGACTAGAAAATGAGTTTAAACAATCTATTTCATTTTAGGCTTTGTGATTTATTGATTGTATTCAATCACAATAATCAATATTCTTTTTAAGGTAAGACCACATGCTATAAGACCAATCCAACAGATGAAAATCAATCGTTTTATCCAGTGTAGTGTGTCTCATATAGGGCTTTCACACTTGCAGAAAACTCCTGAAAAACTCTCTGATATTTCCAGGAGGAGCTGCATGTGTGAAGATGAATTTTTCACTGACTTTCCCTGGAGTTTCTCCTGCCTGACCCCAATATTATTTCTGCACCAAGTCCGAGTGGGCTGATGTGAGAACGCAGCAGGATATTCTCCGGAGAATTCACCTCGAGCCAATGGGAGTGGAGGGTGACGTTTACATACTGTTGACTGGAGCCAGTAGAGTGTATGCATGCAACTGCTACGATCTCAGAGCATGTCATTAAACAGCTGCATTACGTTGTCTGTTCTACATATTTTCAGGAGTTCACATGTAAAAATGGCGATAGTGAACAACCACAAACACCACATCTAGTAAGCTTTACAACCTCCTGACAGGCTTAGCACGTTTGATTTTCCTTCTATGATACGTTCGGTCACATCGCTGTCATGACTTATGAGAGCACAGAGCGCTCTGCATGCACAAAAGTCAAACAAATAAAATGGCGAAGTGTGAGAAGTCTGATGAAGTTGGTGCTGCAGCGCCCTCTTGCGCACAAACACAGTAAACCTCTAGTTACATAACATCAAAATAAGATGAAATGAAATAAAACGTGTTCATTAATCAAACTTATAACACTCACATTTCCTCACATCACGTTTCAGTCTCTGCGGTCCATCATGGTCCAAACTGGAGGAAGAAACCAGAAGACAATCTAGTTAATACATCTTCACTCAGACCCACCATCAAATAAAAGCCAGAGTTAATCTGTCTGTCTGTTTCTCTGTTTGTCTTGTTGTCTGTCTGTTTCTCCGTCTGTACCTCAGCTTCTCCAGTCTGCAGTTTGGATCCTTCAGTCGAGCAGACAGCCGCTCCTTTCCTGGTTCTCCAGGATGATTGTAGCTCAGGTCCAGCTCTCTCAGGTTGGAGGAGTTCAGAGCTGAGGCCAGAGAAGCACAGCCTTCCTCTGTGATCAGACAACCTGACACACTACACAACACACAGTGAAAAAATAGAAAATGAGGAACATTAGGAGCATTACAAGAGACATGAAATTATTTCAACCGTCCGACTCCCTGCTCAACGCATTCTGGGATATGTAGCTATGCTAATGGAGCTAGCAGCACAACTTTTTAAACAGCTTTTGTCCCTCGTTATGTCAAAATCATCCACATAAAGAAAACAGTGATATTCTATGTTGGTTTGTTTGAATAGAAAGTTGAATTGAAGACCACGATTGTGCAGCGGAGTTGGGCGGTGTGACTCTAGCCGAACTGTTGGCTTTCAGTGGGCAGGCACAGGGAGGATAAAGTGCCAGGCGACAGGACATCGCTCTGGGTGTAAGATGAAGCTGTTTTTGCAAAGCAGGAGCTTTCTGGACAAAACTGGTTTACTGGTCTTGGGGGGGAAAGAGGGAGTGCCTTTGCACGACTCTGGCACGTCTCACCTAAACACTGCCCTCTGTATTTCCAAATCAACCACATGACCTCCTCAGAGGACGTGCAACTAGAAACGGCTCCCACAGGCATGAAGGTTGAGCGGTGGAGCAGAGTAGCTTTGCTGCACTTGATTGGGCGTGTATGTTTTTTATTATTGGTTTGAAATTGATTGTGCAATAAATCTCTGAGCTAACCCCGCCCACTTTCCACCCAATTTCAAAAAATGTTCAGAAACTGAAACGACAAAATCTCAAAAAAGTAACTTCTCATCCTTTTAGAGAATTCATATTTTGTTCATAAGATCCTAAGTAACATAGTTAGAAGCTTTTTGTTGATTTAAGTTCCAGGGGCTTTAAAGGCTTTATATGTGATTTTTTGATCCAGCAGATGTCGCCCCTTGAGCACCAGCATGAAACCAAAACAACTTGCGGTGCATTGTTGTATTAGCATGCTAATGCTAGCGATCTTTATTATGCTGGTATCTTCACACTGCATGTAAATTTACCTGAAATGAGCGTGATCTAGAAACACAGTTAAGCAGTGAGTACAGTATGTTATTCTTCTTTTCTCTAGTCCCTCAATTAAACAACTTTTATACACGAGGGGAGGAGTCAGCCGGCCGTCCCGGCGATGTAAACAAACTGAAGATAGGACTCGGAAAACTCTGAAAATATCACAGACAGTGGGACTCGGGTGTTACACCCATTGTATGAGTTATATCCTCTGAGTTATTTTCAGAGGATATACTTGATTTCTACATTTAAGTGTGGAAAATCACATATAAAGACTTTAACTGTTCGTTTAAATACTGATATATGAGGAAAGAAGATCTTAGAGGGTCATTGCACACTGACCTGAGAGTCTCTAGTTTACAGTTCTGACTCTGTAGTCCATCACACAGAAGTTTTACTCCTGAATCCTGCAGGTTGTTGTTGCTCAGGTCCAGCTCTCTCAGACGAGAGGACTCAGAGCTGAGGATGGAAGACAGAGCTTCACAGCTTCTCTCTGACAGTTTACAGCTACTCAACCTAAAGAGGAATCAGAAGCACATGAATTACCAACAATCTGAAAACAGAACAAACTGTATTTAACCTGGATGGTTATGTGTGCACGTACAGAGCCCTGTTGGACGCCTTGATCACTGGCAGCAGCCTCAGAAGAGCCGTCTCTGAAGCAGAGTATTTCTTCAGGTCGAACACGTCCAGATCTTTTTCTGATGACAGTAAGATAAAGACCAGAGCTGACCACTGAGCATGAGACAGTTTATCTGTGGAGAGATTTCCTGATCTCAGGGACTCCTGAATCTCCTCCACTAGAGAACTATCCTGCAGTTCATTCAGACAGTGGAACAGACTGATGCTTTTCTCTGCAGGCAGATTAGCACGGATTTTTTTCTTGATGTACTGAACCGTTTTCTTTTTAGTCCGCGAGTTCTCTCTTATTGGTGTCGGCTGAACTTGCATGTACTTCTGATTGGTTTCCAGGGAAAGGCCGAGGAGGAAGCGCAGGAACAAGTCCAGTTGTCCATTTGGACTCTGTAAGGCCAGGTCGATGGCAGACTGATAGAAAAGTGTTGATTTGTTTCCCCTCTTAAAGGACCACCTGGATGTTTTTGTTCTTTTGACAGCAGGTTGACTCCGGAGCTGGTGAACGTCAGATGGACATGAAGAGCAGCGAGAAAACTCCTGAACGCTCAGATGGACGAAGCAGAACACCTTGTCCGGGTACAGTCCTCTTTCCTCTTTGAAGATCTGCGTGAACACTCCCGAGTACTTCGAGGCTGCACCGATATCGATGCCACACTCTGTCAGGTCCGAGTCATAGAAGATCAACTTGTCTTTCATCAGCTGCTCAAAAGCGAGTTTCCCCAGAGACTCGATCATCTTCCTGTTCTCTGGATTCCAGTGTGAATCCGTCTCATCTCCTCCACCATACTTTATGTTCTTCAGTTTGAATGTAACCACCAGGAAGTGGATGTACATCTCAGTCAGGGTCTTGGGCAGCTCTCCTCCCTCTCCTCCCTCTCCTCTCTCTCTGGTCTTCAGCACATCCTCCAGAACTGAAGCAATGATCCAGCAGAAGACCGGGATGTGGCACATGATGTTGAGGCTTCGCGATGTCTTGATGTGGGAGATAATAGCGCTGCATTGTTCCTCATTTTGGAACCTCTTCATGAAGTACTCCTCCTTCTGTGGGTCAGTGAAACCTCTGACCTCTGTCACCATGTCCACACAGTCAGGAGGGATCTGATTGGCTGCTGCAGGTCGTGTGGTTATCCAGAGGCGAGCAGAGGGAAGCAGTTTCCCCCTGATGAGGTTTGTCAGCAGCACATCCACTGAGGCGGACTTTGTGACATCAGTCAGGATCTCGTTGTTTTTAAAGTCCAGAGGAAGTCGGCACTCATCCAGACCGTCGAAGATGAACACAACCTGGAATTCTTCAAACTTGCAGATTCCTGCTTCTTTGGTTTCAGGAAACAACAGATGAACGAGCTCCACCAATGTGAACTGTTTCTCTTTCAGCACATTCAGCTCCTTGAAAGTAAACGGAAACGTGAACTGTATGTCCTGGTTGGCCTTTCCTTCAGCCCAGTCCAGACTGAACTTCTGCGTTACGACTGTTTTCCCAATGCCAGCCACTCCCTTTGTCATCACCGTTCTGATTGGTTCCTGTCTTTCAGGTGAAGCTTTAAAGATGTCTTCTTGTTTGATGGTTTTTTCAGGTCTGTGTGGTTTCATGTTTGACGTTTCAATCTGCCTGACCTCGTGTTCATCATTGACCTCTCCAGTCCCTCCCTCTGTGATGTAGAGCTCTGTGTAGATGTCGTTCAGGTGGGTGTGGATTCCTTCTCTAGCAATCCCATCACACACACAACGGAACTTCTTCTTCAGGTTAGACTTGAGTTTTTGTTGGCACACTGCAGTGACCGTCCCTGGAAAAATAAAAATAAAAGAATGAAATCAACGAGTTGAGAGTTTTCCTTCTTATCATTCTGTATCCAGTTCATCAGTGTTACATTATACAAAACATAAAAGTTTGGTAAGTAAATCTCCATTTCCCTATTCCATCAATTTGAATCAGTTGAAATCCTCTTACTGTTATGCAGATAGTCAGCCATCTCCCCCTGCTTAGCTCTTCTCAAGAAGTGCAGAGTGAGCTTCAGCGTTACATCTCTGATATCCATCTGATCTTCATCCTCATTCTCACTCTCCACGCCTGCTTGATAATCTGGACTTAAAACCCTCAGGATTCTCTGTAGCTCATTCTCCACATACCTGTGGATGTTCTTCTTCAGCGGCTGGAACAGAATGAAAAAAAACTTAATATAAAACTGGTATACACCTTTTAGCTGGTCGAAACAGAATCCTGATGTAGCGTTCATCGCTTGGTTAGTTTTAGTTCAATGGAAAACACAATTTTTTCTACATACCTCAAATGTGGAGTCCAGGTCTTTTTGAGACCACTGGGCCGACTGGGGAGCCTCGGTGCTCTCCTGTTGAACTCTGTGGAAAAGGGCCAATAATGACACAGCTTACTGAATATGCTCTAGCATGAAAACAAAATGAAGGGCATGAATGTAGGTGGTTTCAAAAGAATAAGAATACTATCACAAACTTGATCTTCAAAAGACTAAGGGATAACTGGGCCAAAACTTGCATCTTCTCTCATAAGAGACAGATAATACACTTCAATTTT